GAAGGCAGACGCTTAATGACTGAGCCACCCAGGCGCCCCGGTACACTTAGAATTTTATTTTAAGAAAGACTTATAGACTGTTATGCATAAAAAAGTTATCAAAGCAAACTAGTAAGACGAGGTAATGCATTTATTATTGTATGAAAACTTAAAAAAAAAAAAGAACAATCCAGTGAAAGCAAATCCAGCAAATTAAGTTCAGCAGAGATGTTAAGCAAAAAATCATTTTACAGACAGTGCCATTATCTTATAAGTAGCTCGAATTAAATTTCTTTTGAAGAGATGTAAGTTGTAATTCTTACTTGAGTTCTTAATTATTGCTGACTCTTTCCTGTAATTTTTTCCCTATCTTGTTTTTCCCATCTCTGGCATTAGACAAGTCTATATTTTCCTTGCAAAGATGTTTGTGAAGTAGTTCGAAGCAAAATAAATATAAAAGGTAAATAGCCATGAAACAAATTTTATGACTGCTATCATTAGTACTTACCAACTGATAATTACCAAAATAGCAGGGATTCCATTGGTAGGCATATATTTATCACTGAACAATAAAGCAAACACTGTACAAGAAATTTCTTATCTTCCAGTGTCTGTTGGTAGCTATCTGGGCACTAGTTCAAGTCATTTAATCTCTTTATGCTTCCGTTTTCCTATGGTATGTTTTAAAAGTATTTTTTACTAGTCTACGTAAAAATCACATCTATAAAAGGACAGGAGCTGAGCATGTTGAAAGGAAGGAAATTCAGTTTGGGGAGTTGAATTATGAGTGAATCTTTTGTTGTCTTTTGTTTCAATTTATGGAAGTGGTTTTCAACAAGCAATGATACATAACATCTTTTTGAGGATTTCACCATGATTTCTAAACATGTCAGAAAAATACATTAAAAAAAAGATTAGAAGGAACAAATTGTTAGAGGCAAATAGACACTCTAGGGTCTCCTACAATAAAACACTCTGTCCATTTTACTGATCGCTTTTTAAATTTTTTACTTGCTGGAAGGAGTGAAAGGCTGAGCAGCATAAATTACCTTTTCTTTTGAAGACAGCGTGGGATGTACAAACTTCCTGTATAGGAGGCTGGAGCCTTTTGTGTAGGGAGATAGCAGCCAGGCTACAAATGCTATTTTTAGTTCATAATAGAATGGAAACCTGGAGAGAGATGAGAAAATACACGTTCGGTTAGGTTCTCAGCAACACGGCCCTGAGACCCTGCAGCGCAGACACCCCTCCTGCCCGCACCTAGCTGCAGGCCCCCGGTGAAGTGTAAACACAGAGCAAAAGCCCAAGGCCTCCTTTTTTTTTTTTTTTTCCCTTTTTCTAAGATTTTGTTTTTTATTATTATTTTTTA